CATCATGAATATTAGGATGCAACTGATTGACCTTGATCCTTCGCCAATTGATCGTAAAGTAGAGCGCTATCATGATTATAGCAGTTTGATTTATCTTTGAGTGGATCCACTACAAGTCCACCTAACACCGAGCTGCTAATGATGTACTTTCATTGCTGTGGTCATCATTCCTTATCATAGCAATGAAGGTGTAAAACATTGTTTTGGTGAATCTTTGTCTCGAAAGTCTACTTATAAACGAAATTTTTTCTCAGACTTTGTCTTCCTATCTGCCTAATTTATTTTGATAGCATCTTGATACAAGTGGCCTCACAAACAGAGCCCTTATTGAGACCCTTCAGCTTGCTTATGACTGCGCCCCCCTGACGGCCTGTTTGGTCTTGCTGGCCAGGTCGATGGATGACAGGCTAGCCAGTTCAACTCTACCAGGCTGTGGTGGCGGAAGCACTCAGGCACCTACTTCGCTTGACACGGTCCATTACCTAATTGCCCTACGTCGCCGACTTGCATGGCTGCGTGCTGCTCTTGATCAGTTCAACTTGCTTATTTCGACTTCATTCTGTGTGGTCAACACCGTCAGCGCCTTTTCAACACAGGAGTTCGAGGTAGGTATTACAATGGAGCCAACTGCTGGTGCCGGGCTTGCTGGAAGTGCACCGCCTGGTCCATATGTGGGCCAACACTCCAGTTCGCAAATACAGAAGCGTCAAATGCATCAGCTGCATCGGCATCCACTGAATTCCTCGATTTGGCACCGATTACCACCATCTGTCTCAATTGGATCTAAAATCCAGGGTTCACTGCATGGCACATCCCAGTCTGCTCTTTTGTCACCTGAGTTGCGGCAAAGTAATTGTTTCGCCACCGATTCGTTTTTACGAGCAACCGCCTGGATTAGGCCAGCCATTCGGCACGAGCTTCTCTTCAATGAATTATTGGTAAATAGATAATATATTTTAATCTTATCTTCCACTCATCCCATCTTCTATTGCATCTTTAATCACAATCGTTTTATATTTCCTTTTCAACAATCATCTGTCTATAATATTTATCAAGGTAAGAGATTAAATCTTAATTATTCTACAGGTTAATCAAGCCCCTCTTGGGCACAGAGGTAATGGCTAGATTGATCAGCTATTTTTGAATTAAAATTTCAGTCCACTGTTTTATGATTAAAAAAAAATTCAGATGCAAAATAAACCTCGTAGGGCGAAACGATAGAAAATTTTATACACAAAGGAACTATTTGGCACAAAACCATCAGCTTCACTTTCCCACAATGGTTATTTCTCAAAATTACTTCCATTCCTTAATCTG